CAAAGAAGAGATGGGAGAATCGGATTCTCAAAGGGTTGGATGACCACCAACATTTCCATCCAGAGGAAGGGGTCCCGTGATATCTGCGCAACTTTGTGCTGATCGCTCGTTGTATGGTCCCTCGCCACAAAATCCACGTCAACATGTGGGCATCGTTAAACATGGGCTTCAGTCTCGTGATCACCACCACAACGGGGACAATGGTGATCATACTTGTGGTCATCCCGGTGGATCCTTTTCCAAACTGGCAACAAATGAAATAGGAACTTCACAATTGTCGGTTTGTGGATCTCATGGCGGTTGACAGCTCGACCTTGGGCTGTCCAATCGACCAATGCTGGGGTGTACTCATCCCAGTCGGGATTAAGTTTGACAATGAGGTCGAACAGGGGCTGGTCGTTCCTGAGATGCCGCAGCGTTCTGGGGACTTTGTATGTGCATGTTCCTTTGGGAAGGTGCAGCTGGCCAGGTTTGCCGGAAACCTGAGTACCTTGGAGTGATCCTGTTGGATGTGTCGGTTCATGTAACTGCCTGCCAGTTTGTCAGCTCTGCAGTTTAGTTGTGCTTTTAGGGGTAGTGTTTCGATGGCCTTGTGTTGTCCTGGTGCGATTTGATGTGCTCCATCTGTGGCACAGTGACTGCAGCCCGGAAAGAATCCTCGATCTGCTGCACAGAACATCCCAGTCGGAGGTCAACGAATCATTGGGGTACCATCCCTCATACTCGAAACCAGCTAGCGGCACTTATTCGTCACATGATTCATTGTCGCATAAGTGTACATAATTCTTCATGCTGGTCTTACGTAGAACTCCAGCAATCGTCGAAGAAGGCAGGGTAGGGGATAGAATGCCATAGCCTTCGGCCCTTGTAGAAAGTACAGGAACCATACCAAAAACTGACCAGATCACCTGAAGCACAATTTGGCTGGTTGTCTGCCAGGAACCATGAAAACTCGCTTACCGCTTCAATGTCTGCAGCACCATCGCTGGCCACCCAGAAGGGCATGGCCTGTGACAATCTGCAGGACTGATAGTAGGCGTCCACCATCCATTCAAGCTCGTAATAGAGAGCTGTTTCCCAAGGCTCCAAAGTGGGCAAGGAAGTCCTCCAAATGTTTCTGTCGTGGTGGGTGGTAGTGACGACCAGGAATGCCTGCTGTGAACCACTACCAACTACGACTGTCTCACGCTTGTTGAAGAGGGTCAGGTCTAGGACTAGCCGTCTTTCCAGAGTCTGGCTGAACAGATGTGCAAGATCGGGGAAGTGGGGGATCCAGTGGCAACCGAGTTTGTGTAGGATGCTGGCGTCCAGGTGTTCAGGCGATACTGCCAAAACTGGGCTTACGTGGTGTTATACAAGGGTGCGAACCATGAGTGGTTTGTTCTATTGAAGAAGCTGGATTGGATCCAAAGAACTTTGCCATGCCACAACGAATGAGAAACATGCTTGCAAGATTTAAGGATATATTGGGCTTTCTGTCCTAGGAGAAGATCAATACGATGAAATGTTCCAGCGAGAAGAAGGGGTCTTGTTATAAGTATAAAGAGGTAGGGATATAGGGTAAATAATCTGTATATAAAACTTTATTACTACAACTACCTTCCTGAGATCGCATTGCACCTCGTACGTCATTCAATGTCAGCCATTGAAAAAAGATCAAGCTTCCAATCAAAATCACAGGCGACCCCGAAAAATTAAATTGGGAGCCAACTTTTAAAATGTGAAGAACGCAAGGCGACTTTCATGTGCATGTACATGCGTTGACTGTATCCCGTCAATACAATACTAGTCGAATACGTAGACTTCTACAGGGCCTTCTAAGCAATGCGCGCCGGGTATAATTCAAACCTCTGCCCCCATCCGTACCATTACCCCTAAAAGCAAGTCGTCTCCAGGAGACGAAATTCTAACCTCGGCAGTCTTGCTGCCAGAGCCCTCAACCCCTTTACCTCGGCAGTCTTGCTGCCAGAGCCCTCAACCCCTTTAATTGTTTTTCCTGCTACGCAGATCAGTTCAAAATCGAGGATTTGGCTCTTAAGGTCTGGCCGTTGTAGGGCCACAAATGACAATTCTATGGTTCTTTTGATCGAATTTGTGTCAAATAAGAGAAGATTGGTCGTTATCCCCACCCAAATCGAGCAATTTGAAGAAAAACCAAGTGTAGCGACGGCCAGACCATAAAAGACGTTTGAACTGATGTGTACGGTGGTCTCTGCAGGTATAAGGGTAGGGTTAGAATACAAATAAGTCAGCAAAAACTAAATAAGTATCCTAGGATGGTGCTTTTAAACCAGCCAAAGCTATTTACATGCATCCTAGTAGGGGGGCTCCTACTAGGAAAAACTCTATTGCTAGTGAAAGCTATATGACTAGTATTCTAGCTAGCTAGGGGTATCTGCTTCTAGCTTGCTATCGGAATCTGCTTCTACCTAGGGGGGTCTGCTTCTACCTAGCTAAGCGCAATTTAAGCACTAGCTAGCTAAGCACTACAGGTATTTGCTTCTAGCTAGCTAGCTATAGTGGTATCTGCTTCTACACTGAAACCTTTCTGCCGAGGTCACACAGCTCCGCTGGCTTAAATTGTTTTTCCTGCTACGGCGGTCCCTGCAGGTATAAGGGTAGGGTTAGAATACAAATAAGTCAGCAAAAACTAAATAAGTATCCTAGGATGGTGCTTTTAAACCAGCTAAAGCTATTTACATGCATCCTAGTAGGGGGATCTGCTTCTACCAGGAAAGACTCTAAAGCTAGCAAAAGCTATATAACTAGTATTCTAGTTAGCTTGGGGTATCTGCTTCTAGCTTGCTATGGGAATCTGCTTCTAGCTAGGGGATCTGCTTCTAGCTAGCTAGCTAAGCGCAAGTTAAGCACTAGCTAGCTAAGCACTACAGGTATCTGCTTCTAGCTAGCTAGCTAATAGGGGTATCTGCTTCTACACTGAAACCTTTCTGCCGAGGTTACACAGCTCCGCTGGCTTATTTTAAGGCTACTCTGAGCACGACTGTCCACCGTGCCGCTACCCCTGGAAACCGATTACCCCCACAAACATTGGTTAAGTTATCAGAGAAGTCGAAGATTGGGGTCTCTCAGTCACAAGTTCTTATTTTAATAGTTCGCGTGTGGTACTGGTACCGGTATTCCTGGTCACACAGAAGAGCATCATTTGGAGACTTGCAGTTTCCAAGAAAAACCTACAGTATACGGTGTACGACAGCGGGTCAACCTGTCGAAACACCGAACACAGCTTTTGCATTTTGCAGCATCCACGTTAACTCCAAGAAGTCACTCGGAGCGCCCCAGAACCACTACCAATCATAGTACCTGGTACATGTACGAGCAAGCTCTGGGTAGACAAGGTGCTCACGAGACATCATCAAAGAGTATTGATTTAGAAGGACGGAAGCTGCCAATGCATGGCGGCCCAGCAACCAGTAACAAACAACCAGCCATCCTCACCCATACGGTACCCTGCTGTGGCTGCTGATGGCTCAATGAACGGCTACCTCCACTTATGACGATGGAAGCAGTGCCTCCCCCAGAGGGATCCACACCTGCCAATAATCTAAGAGTGAGAGCCTTCCGATCTCTCTGGATTTCAGGGAAAGGGCTCTAGATTCGTACCAGCAGCTTCACCGGCTCCATGTGCATTTGTGTTTGGAGGTTCCCATGAATTTTCTCTGGCTGCAATCCACAATTCCTTGACACCTAGCTAGCTAGCATCTAGAGGCACCACAGCCGAGACTGTCTTTGTAGTTGGTGAAGCAGAGGGGGGTGATGGGTGGCTCGTGGGCTTTGACCCGTTGGGTGCTACTCAGAATCCGGTCAACATTTGGTGCCTTGCATTCCGAACTTTAAAAACAGTTAGTGTAGCAGAGGGGAGTGATGGGGGATGCTGTATAGTCTGGGTCTGGTGATTGAGCCTGACATGAAGTAGCTCCCGTGAACATGTTTGTTGTATCTTGGGAACTGGTTCTTTTCGTAGAAGACGTAACCCATAGGTAGGGAGGTGACAGCAATGGTGTGAGAAGTTTTCCCATATCAAGAGGGGGAGTTGCTGTTGTGGTTGCAGAAGACTTACTTCATTTTGCTGCCCCAAGGACACAAGTCTTGATTGAATTTTCTGGCACCATAAAAAGTTTCCTTTTGGTGCACATGCATGTGAGCTACAGTGGCAAATTTGGCACGCTTGAAGCAAGCAAGGGACAAATCGTACCTCAAATTTTGTCACTTTATTTATGCTCCAACCAGATATATCCTGAGGAATGCACAAGACAAGGGTAACATCAGAGGACAACATGCTATGGTAGTCCCACAAGCAATGCAACACAGGGAGTTCTGTCCTTACCTGGTTGAATTTGCCAGCATTCTTAAACATCCTCCACATATTAGTCACTTTTTGAACATCCCATCCAGTGATTTCTTGGTTGAATTTAGTGTTCCCAAAAAACATACTGCAACAGAAGAGATGTCAGTACATGGGTGTCCAAGGCAACAAACAGAGCATCATCTAAACAAAGCCACACAGACCCACTCACTGATTCATGTCGTTTGCATTTGATACTTTCGAGTTCCAGGCAGAAAGAGGCTGGTTGAAATTTGAGTTTCTGAACATTCGGATAAAGCTAGTGCTGAGCGATACCTACGCAGACAAGACAGAAGCAATAATCAGAAATGGCTCCAATGAGATATAAAGAAATTCCCAACAACTCACATCCCAGTTTGAAACATCTCGGTTGAAAGCCCATGCAGCCTGAAAATTAAGGGACAGTTTGTAAGCGAATGGCATGCAAAAAGGGCACAGCTCGCCTGAAAGCCGTACCTCAAACCTGTTGACATGGAGAATGAAGTCAAGGGTAAGGAACTCAACCAACCAATTGAAGAAGACAAAATCTATATGCTCCAAGTGTCACCTACATTCTTGTCAATTTAGTAGTTCCACTAACATCCCACGTTGAGACATCACCATTGAATACATAGGCCTCTCTGAAACTATGAACAGAAAGTTGATTTTTAAAGTGAGGGGCAATCCAGCGAAGTTTGCACTGAGATGGGGCAATGGTACTACTTACGTGCCAACGAACCCCCATGCCGAAACTTTACTGACATCCCATCCAGAGAGGTCTTGGCTGAATTTGTGAGCTCCATAAAAAGTCTCCTGTATTCTCAGTGCACATGTGAGCTACAGCGGCAAATTTGGCATGCCTAGCAAAGGAAGAATCATACCTGAAAACTTGTAACACTGGATGTATCCTGTACCATATTCGCAAGGGAAGGTTAAGTCAAGAAGTTGCATGGCATCTCTAAAATCTATTGAAGCTTACCCATGCAGATATATCCTCATTGAAGTTACCAGCATCAAATTCATTAGTCACCCCGTTTTCTCCTGCAAATACACGATAAAAGTCAACCACACGGGTGACATCCCTGTTACCAGACAACAGTATGAGATGGACCACAACAGGAGGAGGCTGGCTGGATCTCTGCTGGGCCAAATGATTCAGTAACTCACCAGGTCTCAATGGGGCCATAGACACAAGTTGGGCCATAGTTTGCTTCAGCCAAAGCAAGAATCAGCTCAATCCTATCAGCAATGACTGCAAAAAGAGGAGGCATTACAAAAATGGGGTGAAGGAAATGTGCACACCATATGGCCAGACAAATATGTCTACGTACTGCCATCATTTGTAGGAGTTGCAGAAGGAACTGGTGATGGCATCTGTGTATTTGTAGGAACTGCAGAAGGAACTGGTGTTGGCATCTGTGTAGGTGCTTTAGTGGGAGCCTCAGTGGGATGCTGGGTTGGTGCTTTAGTGGGAGCTTTGGTTGGTGCCTGTGTAGGACCTTTGGTGGGAGCTTTGGTTGGTGCCCGGGTAGGCACTTTGGTTGGAGTTTTAGTTGGTGCCTGTGTAGGCACCTTAGTGGGAGTTTTAGTTGGTGCCTGTGTTGGTGCGTTAGTGGGAGCTTTGGTTGGTGCCCGGGTAGGAAATTTAGTGGGAGCTTTGGTTGGTGCTT